CTGGTTCGCGCCAAAATTTGCATGCATTTCGGAGGATCATTTAGACATACGCACTACCGACCGAACGTGGAAAATCTGTAACATTCTGCAACGGTAGCCAAGTACCAGACTTCGCTGTCAACACTTCTTGCTTCGTTCTCTGACAATGGTCTCAATTCGCAATGCATGCGCATCAAAGACACTTTAATTTCTGCCAGTACTGCCAGTTGTGGATTTGCTTGTCCCCCGCCGACAAGCTGGATCACCACTGCCTCCTTGTCGCTGATGGACAGACGCCGCTTGATCACAGTCGACACCAACTGTAGTGAGGATCGTTAATCCCTAGATCGAGCGTTGCGTAGGAACTTACAAAAGGACCGTGAGACCTGGTGTTGTGAACATGCTAGAAAGCTTGAACTTGCCGATTTTTCTGGTAATACCAGAAAACGGTTCCACCTCATCCGAGTCACCGAAGACTTCCAATCAGAAGTAAGCGAAACAATCTGTGAAGACGATGGCTCCCTAAGCGCTACTCTTCAACGACGGTTGGAGCGATGGACCGAACATTTTCGCTCGCCGTTTTCCTGGCCGCTAGCTTGATCTGTTTCTCCTGGAGCGAGCACTGGTGATGAGCGGACGATCTCAACTGATCCTCTTTCTCATCAGGAAACCTGGCGGGAATTCTGCTGCCTAAGAACGTTATAAGGCGCTCGGCTTTGTTGGTCTACCACCTGCTCTATTTACAGATGGGGCTCCTCGTTGGTACGAGAACTCACCGCTTCGTTCTCTGAAGTCTGGGCAAAGTAGGAGGTTCTGTCATCCTGGAATGAGTCGATAGTCTCCCCATCTTCAAAAAGGGCCTGCGCACAAATTGCTCCAATTACAGGAGCATAAGTTTGGTTCCCGTCTTTTGCAATTTTCTGGTGTCCATCATTCTTCAAAGGCTATCCCCAACGCGCTAATCACTACGGCGAGAAGAACAGGCTGGGTTCCGTACTGGTCGCGGCTGCATCAAGCATATGTTCACATTCCGTCAGATTCTCAAGCTCCGCCATGTGTATCAAAAGCCAACGATTGTTGTGTTCCTGGATATCCGTGTTACCTTCGACAGCGCTGCATTGTAGCACTGTCTGTTGAGGAATGGTATTCCCGGGAAGTTCATTTCCATTCTGCGTGCTCTGTGTGGCCTGACCTCGGGTAAAGTTAGGGCTTATGGCAAGCTTTCGCCTTCCTTTGTGGTCATCAGTGAGGTTCGAAAAGCATGCCCAATCTCTCCATTCCTTTTCAACTTTGCCATTGATGATGTCTTCAAAAATGCTCTAGAAGAGTTGTTGAACGCTGGTGTTGCTGCTTCCAGGTAGTCGAGTTGTTGCTTTGGATTACGCTGATGATATCGTCTTGTTGGGTGACGGTCCGCATGTCGTCCAACTTGCACATAACCGACTGGCGATTGAAGCGTTGAAGTATGGCATGCACTTTTCACCATCCAGTGCAAAGCGCTTCTTCAAGACTTGTAAATTCCTCTACCTGGACTCACCATCTATGGGGAAATTTTAGAACTGGTGCAGAGTTTTGTCTACTTGCGAGGCTGCATCACTGCTAGTAGGGCTGCTGGAAACGAGCTTTCGATGCGCATCTCAAGAGCTCGTCTCGTCTTCTCCAGGCTGAGGCATTTATGGCGCCGCCATGACATCCGTCTCTCCATCAAACGGCGGGTTTATAGTGCTACTGTCCACGTTGTAATGTTGTACGGTTGCGAGACTTGGCCTGCTCGTACCGATGACCTACGTCGACTGTCTGTCTTCGAGAACGATTGTTTGTGGTCCATTGCCCGTGTGCGGTAGCTGAACCACGTAACCAACGTTGAAGTTAGACAGCGTGTCTTGGGTGGAGACAGACACTCCCGCGAGGCGCTTTTCCTGCTGGGCCAAGTACGATGGCTCGGACACGTACTGCGTATGCCCGTTCAGCATTTTCCGCGTCGTTCTTTGTTCGCGGTCGCTGGACAGGGTTGAAGGAGGCGGTGGGGTGGACAGCCTACAACTTGGAGAAGCAGGATGAAAAAGCTGACAAAATAGCTGGCCTAGGTTGGTTCCTTCCGACTCCCTGGATGGAGTCCCAAGGATGCTGAGTGCAGTTGGTTGGAAACCTTGAAACTAATGGCTCGAAAGCGAACTCAGTGGTGAGCGTGTATTTCTGTTTGTTACGGCAAATTCTCCTTCAATCCCCCAATAAAAAACATCCAAAAAATCAAAAACTGTTAGTGAAAAAGTGGAAAAAATGTTGCTTGTTTTCTTTCTTCTTTTACTCTAACCCTGTTTTCCTATTCCGCCATGGTCACGGTGGCACAACATCTGTACGCAGATTGTGATCAATGTATGTATGCATGTTATACTATGGCCAGGACTTAGTCATATCTCGTTGACGGCTACAGATGTACTGAAAATGCTAAGGTCCCTATGCCAACATACCTCTCCTGGTGTTGAGAATATCCCACCACATGTGCTGAAGTTAGCTGCACTGAATTTGGTAGATCCAATCTCTAGGTTCTTCGAACGATATCTCAACGAGATATGTGTCCCACAACGTGGACTCACAGAATCGTCACGCCCATTCACAAAAGCGGAAATCGTGCAGATCCAGCCAACTATCGCGCGATAACTCTCCTGCCGGTGCTCCCCAAACTCATGGATTTTATTATTGCCGAGATGTCCATGGATTACTTAAATGCATGCAAAATCATAGCACCAGAACAGCATGGATTTCGCCAGAACCGATCTTTCAGCACAAACTTGCTGCTTGCTTGCTCCAGTTGAACTGAAATCGTTGACAGCGGTGTGGAGGTTGACGCAATCCAGCTGGACTTGTCAAAGGTGTTCAACCGTTTGAGCCACCGCATCCTCATTCACGAGCTTTAGAGTTGTGGAATTGGTAACCCAATTGTCGGGTGGATAAACAACTTTCTGATTCGACAAGTTCTGAATGTGAGAGTTCGCAGTGCCATCTGTGGCCCTAACAATCTTCATTGCGGGGTGCTTAGTATTTATTCCACTCCTGTTCCAGATTCACATAAACAATCTTCCAATTTCATACCCTTCGCTGGTGATCTCAAGATATGGCGCGCAATCAAAACAACGAGTGATCACCTAGCGCTTCAGGATGACCAGGATAGGGTCTACGAGTGGGCGACTCAGAACCTGCTTCATTTCAACGCCACCAAGTGTAAGACATCAAGTATACGCCATCAATACACTTACGGGTAAAGGCTGGTGGATCAGGCTTTGCAGCGTGCTACTACTGAATGCGATCTAGGTGTGATGGTACAAGAGAATCTTGTCTGTTCACGTTAGGCCGAGTAGGCGTCCATAAAACCTAACCAACACCTTGGCCATTTGCGGGGAGCGTATGGGCGTTTTGCCCCTTCAATCTGCGCTCAGATAATGCTTAGATTAGGCCCCATACAGAATACGCCATTCAAGCCTGGCAGCACTTGCAGAATCACAACCTCACCGCACTTGAATAGCCACAAGGAAGGGCGACCAAGAACGTAAAGGGTCTGTTTAATTTCCATTACCAGCTGAGGTTGAAAAGTCTTGGGGTCTAAGGTGGACAGTGTCGATGCCTGCGTGGCGATTTGATGAAGACATATTTGATCCGAAAGAATCAAAACCATGCTTGTAGTCATCTTTTGAAGCGGAATCACAGTACTACTCTGAGAGATCACCAGCTAGAGCTGACCACACATTATAGCCGGTTGGATTGTCGCCGGAATTTCTTTTCACTTCGCGTGTGCCAACCATGGAACACCCTCCCCACTTACATTGTCTCTTCCCCCAGAATAACGGTGTTCAAAAACATCTAAACCATTTCCCGGCCAAGTTGTCCTCTTGGGCAACAGAAATAATCTGAGGGGGCATTCAACATGAGTCTACTCAATTAATTTGTTCCGTGCGTAGGAGCTGAAGCGTCCCACCTGCACCCCCATGACTTAGTGCGTCTGAGGTCCAATTGGCTGAAGGCGGCGGGCTATACACGTACACCTACACACCCGCACAAGTGACGGGCGTACGCACGGAACAAATTAATTGAGTAGACTCATGTTGAATGCCCACTCAGATTATTTCTGTTGCCCAAGAGGACAACTTGGCCGGGAAATGGTATATACGATGCATTCATACATTTACATTACACCATATAATCCTCTATACACGGGCGTCAACCTAGCACAACAAATCAATGTGCGCATTTTCACTTTCAGCACATTAAACGCTACCACTGCATTTACGTATCCCGTCGGCCCAAGAAAGCTGCACACGAGTAAACGTTGTGATTTCCCTTATTTAGTTTTGTCTCACATCTTACGTGAACAATAACCACTCCCCATATTGCTTTGTATGGGCGCATTCAATTCCCACTCCAAACTATCGTTATACAGCAGCGCAGTTAAATCTGATGAATAGACTGACGATTCACTAGTCGTTTGATATTTATGTTATCACTCCGACCATCCTACGGGACTTGTCAAGCACTTGCTTTTTTACCCGTGTTAAATCATTGTTCATTGCTCTGCGCGCGTGCGGTGGCGGATTGATTCTGACCCGAAGTACCAGAAATCCTCTTGTGGACTGGGGAATCAACCTAGATCATCGGAATGGTTGTGGCTGACTAATTTAATAGATAATGACAAATGGATACCACGTGACGTCAATCAGACACCTCTAGCGCTCTTAGGAAGGAAATAGGCCTGTGCTATTGCTTTAGACCTCCAACTGACAGTGCGGAAGTGAAACAGAGCTTTGGTGAAAAAGTACCACGATCCAGTTACCACACGGTGAAGGAAAGCATGAAATGACAGTAGCCGGCTGCTGCTGAAATCTTGTGAGCGTTGGGTCAATGTCATCGTGGTGACCAATCGGATCGACATCATTTCCTTGGCGGTCATTGAACCCGCTGCAGTCATGGCCGGTTATCAGTTAAGGATAGGCAATCATTTCTCGATACTTAGGTTACTTGCAAGTAGTTTAATTTGTAGCAGATTGTAGAGCTAATTTGTAACATCGGTCATACGAGCCAGCAAATCTAGGCTTAAGGATACAGGTGATAATGTAACAAAACTTGCCATATCTGCTTTTCCTCTCCTCGGCTTCGCGCTTCCACTGGTTGCGTTCATTGGCCTTGATGGTCATGAACTTTTGCAGCTGTGCTTTGTGATCAGCTATGCGCAACAAATCCCTCATTTCCACCTCGTGAGCTGCCTTATCCTTATCGTTTTTGTCCTGCAGAGCCAGTCGTTTGCTAACTGCGTCTTCTCTTATTGAAAAGGAGTAATCATATTACCGAACGATACCTGAATTCGTACGCTTCCGTAGCATTTTGCATAACCTTTCGCTTCACCTTTTTGAGTTGATTAAGTTTTTCATTCAATTTTTTCCACAATGCAAGATAAATGCCCCTCTCGTTACGCAGCTTCTCAATATCAGACTTAAGATGCGCGTTTTCTGTCATCGTCTCACAGAACTTGACCGTTTTCTTGATAGATAGGATACAAATTAATCAGAATTGAAATGTCTCTACTGTGTGAAGGTTACGTTCCATGGAAAGGGTTTTGTTCTCAATCAGTGATGTTACTTCACGAGTGTCCTCAACTTTTGACTGGTTTGGACGTTGCTGTTGTTTTGCCCGGAGCAGTTTTTCGTATTTGCGAATCTTAACATAACCCAGCATTAGTCACACTGCTCCACTCACCTCAGCGTCCAATAGTTGATGATAACGCTTAGTATTTTCAATCTTTTGTGAGACCACCTCCTGTTGCTCAAGCTGATGTTTCAGTTCGTCCGTCGCCTTTACATCCTTCTTTTTGTTTTGATCACTGTGAGCTAGAGTGAGCAATACGGTCAGTTCTTCATTTTCTTTGCTCAAGTGCTCAACCACTTTGCTTTTTAAAAAAAGAAGTAAACAACGGCTGCTGGAGCAAACTCACTGGTATCTTCTTAATTTCACGTTGGTTTCAGTTGCAGTTTTGTGTTGTTCGTTTTCCACCAAGCGTACTTGATGCATAAGCCGGTCATACTCTTCCTGCAGCAACAAATCGGCCCCATCGTCTTGTTCTGACTGAGCTGATGTAGGTCGCGGCATTTGCTGCAAAGAAAACATTTTAGAATGCAGTAATATTAAAGAGGCGAATATCTTACAGTTTCATTAGTCACTTGCATGGCATTCAACTGTAACGGTTACCAAAATAACTAGAAGCAAATAAGCAAACTCACCCTCACTCTCTCTCACTATATATATATATATATATATATATATATATATCACAACGAGGACACAGCTGACAATACTAAAAAGTGGAAGCAAACAACTTGGAAATAAAAATGTGGTTGGATACTAAGCAGAAGAATTGCCTCACACTATGTCCACACATTTTTATACGTTTTGGCCATATCGCAGAATTTCCTCAACTGGGATTGATTGTGACCCTTTGCCCCCAATTGTGAAGTCGACACTGGCCAAACACAGTGCAGTTTATGGATAGCGCTCTCACACATTACGCCGAAGATGAAAGTCGCGCAACTTCGTGTTGCTTCCAGTAGATTTCAGCGAAGCCAAAGGGGCCAGGGCGAGGTAAACCTTGAGCACGCATGCTAAGCAACTGCCAACATCAGACACCAAAAACCACACACCACCAAATTACAATTTCCATGAGTGTACCTGATATGCTGCATCATGTACTCCCAGTAACTCACTTGAGTTATACTGAGCTGTCAGTTTTATGTTAGTTAATTTAGAAAATTGGAACTGAAGAACTCCAACCACTCGACCATCCACGAGTTTTAAATATTACTGAATTATTGAGTGAAGCATAAGTAAAATTTTTAAATGAATACAAACTATCAGATCTCTGAATAACTTAATGGTAGTAAGTACTACCCACTTATCGTGTATCCCTAATTGGAGTTACCCACGTTATCGATTCTTTTAGATTACTCAAGCCGCGTACTTAACATTCATTGGACCAACCATGTGCTTTTGTATCTGATTGGTTGCCTCCAGATACTTATAGCTATTTCACTGTAACGCATGCCTATGCCAACAGACACATACATACATTCCATTGCTACCCTGGTCTTCTGCCTTTACGGGACATAGCAAATTGATGACGCATGGTGCCGATGTCATTGCGCCCTAATGCTCCTTCTGCGTCCTGGACCGCTCCTGCGATTACGCCAAATACAGAATGCTGCGAAGACAGAAAAATCAGTTTTTCGGATTATATTTTTGCGCTGCTAGTTCTCAATCCATCCGTGAAGCTGAAAACGGAGGATATGTGGAGGCTTTTGCGCTTTCACCTCGGCTCACAGGGTCGATGTAAATTCGATGCTCTTAGTCTTCGGGAGAAGCCCACTTTAAAATATGCCTTAACAGCCCTCGATAAATATTGGGGCTTTCGAGTGAACATTTATACCATTCTGCACAATTTTTAGCAACTAAAGCGAGCATCTAGCGAACTACTAGATACATTCATTTCTCATCTGCTTTGTTCGGTTTTATAATGCGACTACGATCGTATCCTCAAGAAGAGAGTGGAGTAAACTATGCTAATACAACAGTTGATTTTAGGCCTAGCTGATTCTCGGATCAGATAGAGCGTTAATGGAGAAGGCAGAACAACTCGCTTGCAATGGGGTCTGCGAGGTGCCTCCCCCGAAGGTCGTAGCCACGAAACAGGACAACACATTCCTCTCTAATGTAATAGACACTGAAATTGACCGTTTGGATTCGACACTTTCTCCGATGCGGTGCTCAGTTGAAAATAAATCCTACTGTTGTGGAAATACCGAACACCGTGAAAATGATAAATCGTGTCCTACAAATAGGGAAATCTGTCGGATTTGCGGTAATTCCGGTCATTTTGCTCGAGTTTGTCGTTCCCGTGCCACTTTTGTGTTGACTCTGCTAATGACTCTACGACTTCTCCAGTTACCACAGAAATTTCCATAGATGGCTTCAGTGAATGTGCGCACCCACATTCTTTTCCCACTCAAGAACCCAAACTGCCTTCACCAGCTATTCGTGGTGTGTGAAGTTAGAAGAAAAATCATTTTAAATGCATGGAACTGGATTCCGCGTCAAACATCACAATGGTGCCATCTTGTTTTTACAAAAAGTGTTTTGGCTAGTTAACTACGTATCCTTCCGCTTACACTTTTAGCCGCTACTCAAACGGTGATGTTCGCAAACTTGGTTTCGTTACGGTTTCACTGTGTCTTAGAAACAGCAAGAAGCGTACAGTTGTAGTTTACATTTCGTAAAGTGACACTAAGCCTCTATTGGGACGCAGCGCCATGGTTTCTTTGAATGTATCACCGTGCGTCAGCCGAATGCTTATTGCCAGCGTCAACCTTACTTTGTTAAAATCCAGTTACCCAAATCCCTTCCTTGCGGATATTGGTAGAGTCCCAAAAGCAATTCACCGTATTCGTTTAAGCGCGGATTACAAGTCACCCAGCACTTCACAACTTAGGTCTATACCTTTGGCTAAAAGAGAGGCTTTGTCCTAAGCTTTGAAAAAAAGGCCACTGAACACTTCCACACCTTCGAACGTAATCTCGTCGTGCTGACTTCGTCTGTTGTTGTCTGTATGTGCCCTGTTGCCTCGTCTATTCCGGCAGTCGGATATTCGGCTTCGAATCATAAGTCGGCTTCTAGCAAGCGGTGACGGAGGAAGGGCTTATAACACACGCATGCCCAACTGATCTTCGACCGTGAGATATTGTCTAAGGTTGCATTTTGCTTACGGACTCGAACTAATGGTCCACTACAAGAACAGCTCAATGGTGTCAATGATGGAAACCGAGAGGCGTTGACACTGGTCCCTTGAAATTCGGCGCATTGTTGCACTCTTATTCTTGAGCGAAGACGGAATGAATGAGTTGTGGATTGCAAGTCTTCCAAAGAATTTAATTATAAAATTCTACATGTTTCTAGACAAGCTCTTGAAAGAACTATTCACCACAGCAGACGCTGAAATCGAACGTTCACCGCCACAGAGAACCAGTAGTTTCGGTAACTTACTCGCTGATCTTAAAAACTAGTGCCACATTTACGCCGTCGTCAAACCGAGCTGACCTTCGAGATGAGGAATTTACGCCACTTCGCATAGGGTTAGCAGTAATGTAGGCTTCGAAGCAAGCGACGTCAAGTTCAAACGCTGGCCGCGTTTTGGCTACCGTCCAATGCAGCTCGACTGTCCCTAAACCAAGTACCTTTCGTTCGGTACAAAAGCACAATACTTCCCAGATACATTCTCAGTAATCGCTTCAGTGATGTGACCAGCAGTGGCGACACAGTGGACCGATCCACCACTTCCAGTAGCTGTTCGGCAGTAGCTAAAATCGGTGGTTTGTCGGTCCAGTCCCGCAACAGTATTTTGCACTTTGGTGCAACGTTTTTGTCAAGGCGCGCAGCGCAATGCGCCAATCTATTCAGTAATACTTGCAAAGCTACTGCGTCAGACCCAAGGAGAGCTATATCATCCGCATACTCGTTTGTCAGTCGGTCACCTGGCAGAACTTCCACTCCAGCAGAGTCTGTAAGAACGGAGTCATGTATGATTATTTCGATCACAAAGTTTGGAGAGGAAAGGAAATATTGGACAACCCTGCCGTATCTCACTTGTTGTGGGGAAGTCATAAGACAGCTTCCAGTAGACCCTCACTCGGCCTAGGGAGTCATGGTAAACAGACTGTATAATGGAAAGGAAATAACCTGGCACGCCTTTCGTGGGTTGGTAATGCCTCGACTTGGTACAGTCAAAAGAGGCAACAACGGCTTTTAAACCAAGCAAAACCACCACAGTTGGCTGTTGGTATGTGTGCCTCGGTTCTAAAACTTGGCGAAGACTAAATATGTAGTCGACACAACCATGATTGGGGTTGAAGCCGGACTGGCGGATAAGACAGTCATAAGCAAAATAGGCTTGGTTCGCGCACAAAACCGAATTTCAGGTAAGAGAGACAGGCAGCGACAAAAGTGCCGTTACGACCCATTTTGGTTTGTCCAAGCTCCTGCGCATGCAATTTGGTCTTATGAATGCTGATTAAACGTTTAAATGCTTCATCGACCAAATCCATCCTGGCTTGGACTTCGCCTATACAACTGTTCACACAGATAGCCACGTGAGAACATTATTGACCGTTTATCCCAAAACGTGATGATGACGATCACAGAAAGATGTTCGTCTAGTAGCGATTCGGTCAGTTTTATTGCCCATCGTATCTGTCCCGTAGGCGTCGCGCTACTGCAGGAATACATTTAAGTCTTCATGGATTACCCTATCCTTCAAAGAGCTATGACCTATTGACGATTTGTGCAAATGTTGTCATCTTTCCATACCTAATTGTGCGTCGCTCAGGCAGTCCTATACGAACATACTCCAAGTAAATGTTAGAAAAGTTGATTTTCCTGCCAAGGTTCGCACTATATTCAAATCATTAAAACAGATCATTATCAACATAGCCACTATGGCCCGCTATAGTTGGTAGCTCCACTACCGTTCAATATAGATGCTACAAGCATAGCACTTATCCCTGTCTTGCAGCTGCCAAGCGGTGACTCCTGGTAACCGTTAGTATTTTCCCTGAAACGCATGCAACTTGCCGAAATCACGTTACAGTAACTTCGGTAGGGAGCCATTGGCCATCAGTTCAGCCATATGTCATTTCTGACTTGTTAGAAGGGCGCGCCTTCGCCATCTTCACCGACCCCAGGCCACTGACTTAAGTGCTTGGCTTTACAAACGATCGATACTCTCTTAGAAAGTCACGCCGCCAAGATATATCGCTCAGTTTGTGATCAATATACGATATGTCTCATGCGTTCACAATGCCGCCGCCGCCGCCGCCGCACTTTCTCGAATCAAATCAATGAAACTCTGCATCGACAAATCGACGACGTGGCCATGAGCAGTCCATTAGGCCCAGTTTTGGCTGATAGTTTTATGGGCCACTTGGAAAATACCGTAGTACATTCTTATATACAGAATGTACACTTTTATAGCCGGTATATGGACGACACCTTCGTGCTTGTTGACACTCCTCAGCAGGCGGTATGCGTACTGGAAATGATGAATAAGTACCATCTC